AAAATGCAACGCATGATTTACAGTATTAAATAGTTTGGTATGGACCAATATCACACCAAGCATGAACAGTATGAGCACATATGTACAGTATATGCCTACAGAATCGGAACACAGACACTTTTTTGCATTTATACACACATACCTCGACATATCAGCATCTGTGTAGAAGTGTCTGTTGGTGTCCTCCTGTGTGTTCTGCACAGCACTCAACGTTACATCAACTAATAAGCTGTTGACCCATGCTAATGCAGGTCATCTAGAGAGACATTTGTAGTGCGGGGAGCTCTCAAGTTGGACTTGACACGCATTTTCGTAATAGCTCAAAATACGAGTGGAGAGCACTGCCCCGCATGGAGAAAATGCTATGAAGTGATGTGTGTGAACATGTCTAATCTAAGAGGATCTGAACATCTAATACACTGGTGCACACTTTCTGCAAAATGGATTGTGTTTGTGGTTGTACAGGGAGTAAAAAAGTTGGAACCCTATTTAATATACAGTACATTTATATACAACTTTTGTTTATTATTGGCCACTGTAGCAGTCTGTATGCTACATATTTGCTACAGTAGATTAATGATGAATACAAAATAAGTGAATTTGTTTTCGTGGAAAAAGGACACACTGCAGTTTTAAACTATGAAGGATCTACCACGAGAGCTAAACCCAAATGGTAAATGTACTTTTACGCAGAATTTCAGGTGCATTGTGGGTTTGGGAATCGGACACTTGATGTTTTGTTTTAGGTTTTGCTATGGGTTTGAGCAACAACATTTTGTTTTACAGACTTTACTCCACCATGGCATACTGTGACAACAATGTTTATTCCCGAACCACTAGGGCTCCCTTTACTCGACTAGAGGCTCCACCGGCTGCTCAAGTTTACGGTGGAGAAGCATCCCCAAGATGAGCAGAGGCCAGTCTCTCTATGAGGGACAACAATCCATTTATGGATAGAATGGACCAACTAAAAGTAAGGTCTGAACTCCAACTCAGAGGAAACAAGACAACAAGAAGCTAGCAGTGTATCTAAAGGACAGAACCCAGTGAACACACATTCATGTTGTTTTGGTGAAAGGGCTAAATTGCCTGTCCTAATACATGTATTTTTAGCCGTGTAGATGTAGTTGTTGGCAGAGGACTGAAGAAAAGTGGCCATCTTTGAAAAAAAAAAAAAAAAAAAGATAAAAGTATGTCATATTGTATCTATAACACTGTTTGACAATACACCAGTGTGGTGATGCAAGTTCATTTATTATGTCCAATAAAAGTGTATAGCTTAAATCTTGAGACACCTCATATGGAAGCGAGACAGACATTTCCCCTGCTCATTACTGTACACAAATGTGCTGTAACTCTGTCCTTAGGCCTCCAGAGCCCTTGGTGCTGGCAGACACATAGACACCTCCCCGCATGGCGTGCTTTGTGAGCGCACTAAAAAAACTATTTTGCAAAGAAATCCTGCACGCGTGCAAAAGAATCCCTTCTGCCGCTACAACTTCATCCTTCGGATGAACAGTATGTGTGTCATTGTCATATTTACATCAATATTTTAAAAACTCTTGAAATCTGAGCGCATGCAGATTTGTGTACACACATATGTATACAGTACTGAGACCGTGGTAAGATTTGACAACTACACATGTTAAACTTGCTCGATGTCAATGACTTTTTATGGCACATAAACTTTTAAACACATTGTACAGTTTGTGCATGTAGACTCGCATCGTCCCGCAAACACCAACACTGCATTCCTCCTAATGTCCACTTCCATATTCATTGTGCACACATGCCTCTGTAATTGCAATTGGTGTACAGTAAATATTTAATCTCTTGTACCTCTAACATCCCTCATCTCCAACGATCCTCCTCCAACTCACTCAAACCAAGACACTCTGAGCTGATACAGATTGTTACATCAGATAAAAGTGGAAGTGCATTTGTTCTATGACACGGATGAGTGATGGATGCGAAAAAACACTAAACGATATCTGCAAGCTTGAGTTTAGGCAGTTATTTTTAAGATATTTAAGAACCTGAGGAACAGCAGCAACCGTGATCTGATTTGAAACTGAATGGAAACCAATGTGAGAGGACAGAAAAACAAGGTGAACCTGTGTCCTGCCAATCACTGCAAGACCTGGGGGAGGATGGTGCAACAAGCTTCCTTTTCAAACTTATCCACCTCATTTCAAAATGTTTTTCTTATTCCGCAATCTGCAGCGAGACGCATTAAAAACATTACAACCGAGTGCAGCGCTCTGTCACAACATACAGCTCATCATCAGAGAAACTGCTCTCTGATTTATGTAGATCTCATATTAAAGCCCCACTGTGCAGCAGACCTCATGCATTATTCACAGCAGCGGCCATATGTGTGTGTTTGTATGTGCTTTATAAACGTGTGTGTGTGTGCGCCGTACTCTGTAGCATCTGTATCTGACTCATCGCAGGCACAGAGGATTACTAGCACAGAGAGAGACAGAGCGCGGAGCAGACAGATAGGGACAGTAAGAGAAAGTAAATCTGAAACGAGGCAGTAAAACAGAGATAATCTCACAGGGTTCTGGAAAGACAGTAGTACTGCAGACGTGGATGGGGAGTGGCATAATTCGATCATCACAAACATCTTTTTTATTGTTCACATACCTAACCTAATAATCCATGGAACTTTTACTGGAGTAAATGCCTATTTTGCTCTTTTATTGCTCATTTATTGACTGACTGTATCCCCAGTTCATAAAACCACAAACATCTGGGGCCTGACGGATAAAAGATGTACCAACACAACAAAAAACAAAGACATGATTGGCCATGTCCAACACAGAAAGTGATATTTCCAAAATAAAAGTTGTGGGAACACATACCTTAGTGTACACATGGTTTTAAAGATAGAACTGAGAGTGACAGTCATTGGGTATGACTATTTGCAGTTTGCACATATGACTATCAAAAGCACAATGCTTGACTTATTTTATTGACATTGAAAGCAGCATTCTATTTCCCTGTCGATGTTGTTTTTATTCGTCTCCTTTGCAAAGTTAATTTTTAATATGAACGCTATGAATTACGTCCCTGATGTTTGCTGATAACAAGGCAATTGTGTACATGCATATTTCTTTCTTTGTGATTGCAGAGATTTGAACCTACTGAGCACAACGTTTCACGCATTAAGTTGTTGTACATTCGACTTTGTTGCGATAACATTCTGACGAAGAGTTGGTCGTGCAAAAAAACAACAACCAGCAACTAAAAGGTTATCAGCATGAAATGAAAACAACAACACGCTGTTAATGGAACTGCTGTGTCAATACAACTCTGCAACGATAACTATGAATCAATAAGGGAGACAAAATATATAAACACCTATTCAAGTCTGTGGTCCCGAGTTAAAATGGTTCATATGTGAGCTGTTTTGTTTTGGTGTACAGCGGCAGTAGCATGGTGTAGCGGAGAGGAGCAGGGCGACAGCTTCAGAGTCGAGGCTGTATCCCTCCGTTCTGGTTCACTTAGACTAAATGCACCCCAGATGGGGAGAACAAAAGGTGTTTGATTTTGTTTTTTTCACAAGACAGAGATGAGCAGTGAACGAGAAGCAAAGAAAGAAAGAATGCAGCTGGAAACAATGAAGATTGTCAATGAGTTTAAGTTCGATCAATAAAGTGATGCAGAGTATAAAGACAGGTCCTTTACTTGGTAGTACTGTATTGTCTCAATGGGCACATGTCACACATGATTCGTCATGTGGATACCCAACCCCCAAATACACAGTTCACACATTGATTACAACTAGGAAAGTGCACTCAGTAGAGTGCAGATCTCCGCCAGATGTGTCTGCAACGATCACTGCTTTGATGTTTGACTGAATGAGGATTCAGGAATCAGGATTGTATCTGCTTCTTCTGTTTGGCGTAACCACAAACTGAAGTGTTTTAGTTCAAGTATGTGGTCAAGATATGTGGTATACAAATACGACTCCAAACTAAAGCAGTTGTTTATCACTTGCGGCCCCTTCCATTTGGTTAAGAGGAGTAAGTCAGCAGTCAATGATGGTATAAACAGCCAATAAAATATATTTTTTTCAGAAACTGTGAATCACCACAACCACGAGAGGTCCTTGAGCATACATTCATGAATGAGCACAAACAATATGGGTCCAGTAGTATGCCAGATTAGCCGTGGACAGACGAATAGGCTGACACACACACACACGCCCAAACACATAATCTCCCTCAAGGCTTATGCTTGTCGGACATAATTACATTTCTTAAAAAAATCCAGAGGAGGGTATTTTAGACTTAAGATCAATCATAGCTGCATAAAGTCCACAGAAAACTACTAACATGACTCTTTACCTATTGATTTGCATACTGACGACAGACACATTGAAGACACACTGAGGGCATCATCACTCAAACGCCCTACACATTTAGTCAGGCACATGTAGTGCATCTACAATCAGCTACTGGAGCACTGCAGAAACCAACCTGCAAGCACTTGACCACATTACCAACTAGACACAGATGTGCTGTAAGGGGTTGTAAAGCGCACAATTCATTCAAACTCAAATAATAAGCGGCGATGTATGCAGGCGGTCGTCTTGAAGTCGCAGAGTAGCAGTAGAGGGGTTGGAGATACACTCAGCTGGGTTATCACTAGTAGCAACTACCGGCCAGAAATAGTGAGTAAGGAGTCAGCAGGCAGTCAATGGAAGTATAAAACAGGCAATAAAACGGTGTTTTGAGAAAGTGTGATTCTCTGCAACCACGAGAGGTCCTTGAGCAATCAGTCAGAACTGGCCACCCAAAATCTGCAGTTTGCTGCAGCAGAATGCGAGATTAGCCGCGGAGAGACACATAGATGCACATTGACTCACTCACTCACTCACAATCTCATGATCCTCTTGGCAGAGAGAGAGAGAGACATCAGCGCAGACACACACACACACACACAGATGTTAAGATTCAATGGGGAAAAAAATATATAAATGAGTGACTTACTATGGTGAAGTTCATGACTTTGAGGATCCAGATAGTTAGTGCCAAGTTGATCAGGATCAGGATCATCAGCAGTAGGACGAAGAAGTAAAGGCAGCGTTTCCTCCAGCCATATATTCCCACTTTGTACACTTGTGGTTTCTCTGAACTCTGGACATTGTTCCTATGAGTGCACTGTTCTTGGGTCATCTGAGAGGAGACACGGAGAGAAAAAAGGAAGACATTTTAACGGCTGAGGCAACGCCTTGACCTCTGTGTTACTTTCTTATACGAAGTCTCAGTCAAACTCCACCAGTATCTTTGTCTCTAACTTTCTCACATTTTGCATCCTGGTTTGCACTGACTGTGTTAATCAATTATTCAGCTCCATTTGGGCTATTGGGCAGTGAGGGAATCAACACAGACTATTGTATGGTTTGAGATCTTGGAGAGAATTTGTAGAAAGTTAAAGCTGCATTATTTTCATTTATTTGTTTTGCATGCAACATTGACATATGCCATTTTAGAAAACTTATAGCAAACAAGTCTGCAAAGTTGCATGTTTAAACATCCAGTGGACACGGAGCAACAATATTATTTTAGAGTTCTGGTGAATTTAAGTCCACTATTCCTTCTTCCTTTAGCTCCTTGGTCTCCTGAGAGAAATGTATGTCTCTTTAGCTGCTAAATGTCCCACTGTGTTAGCTAGTACTTTCTCTTGTCTGGCTCTAATGTATTCAGCTATTATTGAAACCATTTGGTCTCCATGGTGAAGCTACCCATGATCGATTGGAGATTTGTGATGCGGCTGTGGAGACTGTGTAGAAAACGACCTTTAAGATAAGAGATGGGGTACATCTGAACATCAGTACAAATAACATGCCGTAAACATTCCTCTCACACACTGCACTCCAATACTGACCAGCCACTCAGTTCAGGCACGATGACAGACAGTTTAGTTAGCCATCGCTTTGATTGATTGCCCCATAAGTGGTCTATAACTCCAATATACCCTCTCTGCCCCATTGATGTGCTGATAGTGCCGATTAATGATGATTCTAATTGTCTGTCTGTGGAGACGTGGAGGCATTGTTCACTTCAAGCTCCATAATAATGGCCTAATAACTCTGTGGAAAAATACAATTTACTGTCCACCGTGCTTTGGAGTGCACGCCTCAGACCACCAAAGCCAATTGTTTTTGACAACCGCACACATTATGCGCTAACTGAAACAAATGGCACAAGACAGGGGCCCGCTGAGAAAGTGCTGAAAGCTACAGAGGAGGATCCAAAGCACCAGTCAGTAAAAAAAACAAAAAAAAACAGGGAAATATCATTGTGTACGCTCGGATTTTCATTTTTGTTTGACGTGAGATGCAGAGAGATGAAGAACCATATCTCTGTGATGTCTAGGCTGACAGAAAATAGGGAAATCAGTACTGTGAGAGTAAACTAATATTAATATGCCTTTGCCAGCCAGTCAAGTTGCAGTTTACACCCATGTCTGTTCAAAATGTCATCACTTAATCATTTTATTGCATTAGACATTTGTGTGAAATTATCATAATTAGCATATTCATTCTTGAGTTATTTCCCAGAAATGTGTTAGTTCATCCTTGGGTCCAAGGCGTTCCTGAGATATTGTGTTTACACAAATGGAACATATGTACAACCAACGGATTGAAGCTCATTAGGGTCTGCTTTAAGCCAAAAGTAACCAAGGCTATTTGATTACCTCTTTGGCAAAATCCTCAGAAAGACCTGCAGCCTGTGAGTGGGGATTAATAACGCAGCTGATCCTGCATCACATTTTCTTTTGTTTTCCATCCTCAAGCACCTGCCACAGCAAAGAGCTTCCAAATATGGCTGCCAGTCATGGCAGACACACTGTTCACCCTGGAACAAACCGCTGTCCTGTCAAATCACACATTTGAACAAGATCCAGTTGAGCCGACAGGGCTACTCTGACATTTGTTTACATCAAGGAGTTTTTTTGTTTTTGTTTTTCATGTTTGGTGTGACAAGCTCAGATAACTGACCCTGAAACTAAAACTTAAAAATGATCATGTCAGTGAAATTTGGTAAGCAGATAGCAGCGAGGAGATTCATTTTGAAACAGCATTGAATAAATCTCCAATTTTCAAAAGCAAAGAGACGATATATACGTATATGCAACGTCAACTGGGTAGTATTTTGTAATTCTAATATATGTATTTTTGACACAGCCTTGGGAAGGTACAGGACAGCTGAATAATCAAGATCTGCTTGTCTGTTTACTAGAATAACTTAATTACTGTAAATTTGCAACAGCTCTTGTTGCATATTTTATCAAAGCAATTCTAGCATTTTGGATGACAGAAGTCAGTAAGCCAGTCAAATGAAATGCAAATGGTAACACAGTTCTTATTTAAAAAATAGATTAATGTTTGATTAAAAATGGCATTTATTGGAATCGATAGTGGTATGTGAAACCCTCAACTAATCTGTTTCAGGAAATTTAAAATAAAGTAAACTAATAAATGTCCTTGACGAAAGGAAAGGGTAAAAAACAGAATACTGCAGGAGCTGCCAAACATCTCCAGGTGTTGTGGAGACAACAGCATCAGCAGCTTGGCAGGAAGGCAACACTCACAGTGACACCAACAAAAGTGTCACCTGTTCAGTAGTCAGATGGAGAAGTGTGTGTGCTCAAGCATTCATGTGTAAATGTGTCACTTCTCAGGTAAGCCTTTATACGATCTACACATACACACACACACACACACACACACACATAAAGTTTAGTAATAATTTAGTTGTACTTTTCTACACATCCCTAGTACAGGGGTTTGAGCTGTATGGCAGCTACCCTGTTGGAGAGTTGGTTGTGCGCTCTTCCTCAATATGTCATACATCACCGAGATGCAGTAAAATCCATGAGAGATGAAGGCCGTGGAGAAAGGTCAACAGCAGACACTGAACAACAATAACAACAGTGGTGGATAGTTTAAAAAAAAGAAACTATACTGGCGGTGGTGCCATGTTGATAGACCCTTTCACAGCCAACACAATGATAACGTCACAGTGTTAGCTGGAGGCAAAACAAAGCAAACACTGGAGGCAAACAAGAATTACCTCACAATAACGGGCTAAAGTCACATCCAAACTACATCTCGCTGTGTTCTTGACTGTTAGAATCGATTTTGAATGCATAAGTGACGATAAACTGTGATTCAAGGCTGTAGCGAGCAACAATATCAGCAAAGTGTTTCAGAAATGGAGAGAAAATGTTGCTAATAGATCAGCTTAGCCTTCTGCTAACCTTAAGCCGTCACTGCTGCTGCACCACAGCAGGCTACATTATTAGAGATATGTTGCCAATAGGATGTTGGACTTTTTATCCCCCATTACCAGTGTAGTATAAAAGCATAGTGGAATTAGGAAGCCAACTAGTGGACAGCTGGCTACTTAGCTAGCTTGCTATAACTCTGCCATGCTGTCATGCAGCACTGTCAACAGAAAATGATCTGAACAAAGTTGTCACTTGTCTGGTGAATGAAGCAATGTTCGTTCTTACATTGTGATGGAAGTGTGTGGATGAAGCATTAAGCCATTTAAATTAAATTTAAGATCAAACTCACTGCGAGGAGTGAGTTTGATGGTCCCTTTGGTTGATGTCAACTTTCTCAAGTAACTCAGTCCCTGAGAGTTAGTGACCATACATAATAAGAGAAACAAATGCTTTTTTTCAGCCATTATGAAATAAAAAGCCACAGACATTGCTGGGCATCCTTAACTAGCGGTTCGGGGAATTAAACGTCCTACCTATGCTCTGCCTACTCATAAATGGCATCATGATTACTAACAGAAATGGGGGCTTTTATGTCTGCTTTTGGTGAAATCAGGTCTCTAGGAAGATATTCTGGCTTCGGCCAAGGATGTTTTATCCCAGAGGTGAACATGCATGGTGTCCTGATGGTCAATGTTTTTCATACAAATATAAATATCTGGTATACTTTCACACCAATATATTAAACAACCATTTTCTGACGTCGTTATTGGCAGGACGGCATCATTTGTTAGTGCCTTTAAAATCTGTTATTACCAAAGGAACCTGTTGTGGTCTGATTGGTTAAAATAAACCAATGTTGACTGTCTGTAGGAAACAGACAAAAAGTACAACTTATAACACAATAAGAAATCGATGATATTTTTCAAAGTTGTATAAATGTATTCTTTTTATGATGTTTCTTATTTCTACACATACGCTGTATTACATTGTGGATCTAACTTCTCTCACATAAAATATACATACATCAAATAAATGCACTGCAATAATGAAATATGACTCGCCTCTCATGTCCTTTCTATAGACAATCCCTCCATGCACAAAGAGTACTGATAGCTTTGCAATAAGCTCTTAGGCTACAGGCTTACTAAGAAAATAAAATGGTGCTTGGTTACAAGCTAAGTAATGGCCACTCTCATAAGTGTGGAGGTGTGTGTTAAGCAAGCGGAGTTGAAAAGCCAGGAAGGAAATAAATAAGTGGGGAATTGGAGGCAAATCAAATCATTGGTCTTTTGATTCTTTTCCCCTCCACTGCTGCTGTCCAATGGTGCCTCCTGTTCACCCAACTACTCATTCAGAAAGCCCGAAGGAAGCCCAATGGTCCCAAAACAAAGTCTGTCTCTGATTAGAGGGAGAAATTAGGTTTTACAAAATGTTATTGGTTAATTCTGCAGCCAAATAGCCAGGCAGCTCCCATTAGGACCTTTATAGACAACATGTGGATCAGTACCAGGACCCAACGGCTGCTGCCAATGGATACGCCATTACTAGGGCTCATAAGCCTCCAAATGTATGAAGATACAAAATGGCCGACAGCCAGAGGCAGTTTAATGGCCGTTGCAATGTGTGGGCAAACAGGCTAGTGGAGAAATGTGATCGTCTGACTGGAAAGTTACTAAAGATATCACTGCTAAAGAGGAGAGAACAAGTATTAGCTCTTCTCTTAATGGTTTTAGGGTTTATTTGGTTATACTGCGCTAATAAGCATGTTTCTATATGTTTCTATACACGACTGTCTCTGCGTCTTTTCACCAAGTGTGTTTTTTGGAATCTTTCTCTGTTTGATATTTTTAGACGTGTTGGTTTTCTCCTTGTATTGTGCACCCGCCTCAGCCATTAACCAGGACTGTAGAGATCCAGTAGTTACTGTCCTGAATTGCTC